GTTTACAATATCTTTCCGACGAATTAGGAAAACTGCAAGAAAACCTAATTCGGAGTAGCCGGCAGAGTGCTCGAAACTGATCTAAGGAAATTTCCATCTCCGCCACAGATGAAAACTTCCTACCTCAGCCCAGGTTCGAACACCCGACCTTCGGCTAGTCGGGTCTTTCCACAACTGTTCTTCTACGGGTCCGCATTTGCTGCTAGCCAGTCACCCAGTCGGACAACTGAGATTGAAAGTTATTTTTTTACAAGCAGATCTAAAAAAGCGGCAAGCACCTCGAGTCATAAGATTTTACCCATTTTCAATAGGCTTATTACATGTGGTATATGTGCGAAGTTTGAACCAAATCGGCCCAAGCGTTTGATAGTTATTGTGTTTACGGACAGACGGACATCATCAACCTATAAAGCTTGCATCGCTTGCTCTGCCCCTTAATAAATTTGCGAAAATGCGATAAAAAGGAGAGTTTGGAAAAGATTGACTCTTCACAGCAACACCAACACTAACTGCAAGTAGGAACTAAACGGAGAATGAGGTGCCGGAAAAGTGGAGACGCGCACGATTGGAGTCAATATTAAATTCATCATGTAGGCAACCTTAGTAAACAGTTTCCGGCGTTTTATAGAAATATTAGAAAATAGTATTTTGATTATGTACTTCAATGGGTTGCTGAAAACTTCTGCGCCACTCAACATCTAAAAAATTTGATGTATAAGTGGTTGGTAGGAAATTATCTTCTCTACAATTTTTCTCTATTGACATTTTTAGCGCATTTTTTTAAGAACTACAAAAATATGCAATTGTTTGCGTTTTGGCCGTCCGTCCGTCCGTCCGCACCCACTTCTACCGTTTTGAACTACTTCTAGGGGAATGGTCCCTTAGAGTCTTGGAATTTTTTGCAGTAAGGTTGGGGGGCATGAATTATTTCCTGAGACGCTGTTTTTGAAAGTGAAACGTGCATAACTTTTACATGCAGACAACCAATTGATCTCAGATTTTGTCGGAGGAAAGTACTCTTAAAGGCAAAATCTGCAGAAGGGCGTGTCGGAGGATTTTGAATGTATGCCAGGCGGTTTTTAATTGTTTGTGTGTAAAGAGCCTCCTCCCCTTATAACCCAATCATTTACTAAGCTATTTCGGTTTAAAAAAATGCGCTTTATCTGCACAAGGGTTGTGCAAAATTTATACTTGTTTCTTAAAATGCTTAGTTTTAGAGTTATTAAGAAAAACGACGTTGATGCTGGAGTTTCAGAGGGTGTTCAAAATTTCAGCTTGTCTCCAATTTGTTAACTGTTACCCATATAAAATGATGGATAGGCCCTGTGTTATAATCCTACAGTAGATGAATAAATTAATCATAAAGGATAAAGTATAAAGATGCCTCGATTATATTGTAATTATGAACTGAATTCAATGATCCGTGTTATGGCAATGGTGAACGTCCTTCCTGATCTGCGTGTGCTTGTTTTAAAAATGACCAACGATCAACAATGCAAAACCATAAAGATTTGATTTGTTGAGGAAACCGATTTTTGAACATTAGTGTAGATGTAAAGAGCCACTGGCATCCATTTTTCCAGTACCTACAGGTATAAGTGCAATAAGTCGCCAAGATATTTAATTTATTACTGTGAGGATTTGTTAAATTATTTTCCAAAAAGACTTTTTTCAAATAATTTGAAACTTTAATTTTACCTATACTGCAAAAACGCGAGCAAGCTCATTTGGAACACAGTAACAGTTTCATTGGTAGAGTTGTACCTATTTTAGTGCATAGATCAACAGGTATCAATGACGTAGCGACGCCGTTCGCCGTATGTACAATTACAGTTCCGGCACCCGCGACGCCGATATCGCACAAGTTCGCTATTTCTCGTGGGCGTCCATACGTGTCATCATCGATTGATAGGCGTCGGGCGAAACCGGCGCGCGAAAAGGGACGCTTTATATCAGGGAATCAGAAAACCGAAAGTATATCAGCTCGAATACACGCGCACCCCCTAAAAATAGATTATTTACCAATAAAGCACCTCCCCCAGTATGTAATTTAATTATAGGGTACGCATATGGCACGTGTATGCTAAATAAAGACGCGAGCGCGAAACATGTACCTACATATGTTACGCTCCAGCGCGTGGGGAACGTGCCAACGGCTGCTGGCTGAAGAGCTCCCTTCCTGTTAACATAAAGGAACAGGAGGAATCAATTGTACGTACATACTTATCGTAATCAACAATTAATAGCCAACTGCTTACATTACATATTTCTTCCTTGTGGTGCACGATTAAGGATTGACAAACTGTCATCGCACAGCTGGTTGAAAAATTAAATAAATAGGATTGCTATAGAGTACACTTTTATTAACTTAAAAGTCCTATCCGCCAGAAAGAAATGAGTTTGAATAAACATTTTTTATTCAATGATGAAAGGTTATGGGTTTCAGGTGTCCAACTATTACAAATTAACTTTTGCATCCATCACGTTGTTGCCCTAAATCGGACAGAATGGTTATTTATGCACCATTTTTTTTGGGAAAATGATCAAACTCGATGACCAAGAAATGATACATGTGTATTTTTGGTGACCAAAACATTTTTACTGAAAGGATGTCAAAATCGTTATTTATTCATCAATTTTTTTTGGGAAACTCGATTGCTCAATCCCCAAGTGGATGATCCACGTATATTTTTGGCGACAACATATTTTTGGACAAAAACCTCGAAATTATTATTAGTAGATTATGTCAAAAGTTTTCAATGACAGAAGGAGAGCTCGAGTAGGAAGAGTGGGTTAAAGACAGTATTTATAATTTAAAAACAATTTATTTATCTTGATACAACAATTTTTAAAAACAACGGTAATTTTATTCGACTAAAAAAAATCCGAGACAACTGAATACCGAACGATCCTCGAGATCCTCACATACATCATTTTTACAATACACCTTAAGGGACTGATCCTATCCCACCAGATCAGCATAGCTTGTAAAACAAATTTTTTGAATCGGCATTTGTTTTACTTTTATTCGAAGTTCCTACATACAAAATTTCATTTAAATATCTTAACAAATAAAAAAATTGAGATTGCCCAAATACAAAAGTTGAAATGCGCATGCGCAATATTTTTTTCAATCTGCATAGTTGCCTAAGGTTTAAGGAATATTTACTAACACAGAAAGCAGGACATTCATATGTTCGTTGTAGCTAAGAGTTATAAAAGAAACCCTTTTTGGAGGTTTGTGCAGTTTTTGGGCTGTAACTTTTTGACCCGTTGGTCTACGTAGCAAAAAAACAATAGCGACCTTTTTTATATCTTGAAGAACATGTGTATTAATTTTCAAAGTGATTTTCTACACAAAGTTATCGTGCGCACGGATAGACGGACAGACAGATAGCAATACAAAATTATATACGATCACGAGGATCGTTAATAAAATATCTGATCCAGCTCCTTTCCAGCGGGCAAGGTTCCCAGGATCGAGGTGCAGTTTCCACGTTGAAGTTCAAGGCTGATTCTTAGGGAAAGATAATTTCTAGCTCGTCGTTCCCCTGTGACTTTGGTTATTTGTGCTCCAATTGCGTTAATCAAGGCCAGCCCTTCTTCGCCATAAACTCCGGTAGTTTCCAAAGCGAAAGAGACACCAAAGAAACTGTTCTTTATTTGAGACTTTCCGTCTGATCTTGAACATCCTGCTGGTTCTTTGATGAACGGGATCTCGGCGGTCCCAAGAGCTCTAGATATCAATTGGTAGAACAAAATTCCGGTATCATCCCCCTTGCAGAACGATTGACACATCCTTTGTAGACGCTTTGATTTCGTGTCGTCGCCGGACGGGGTTCCTCAGGTAGTAATTACGAAGATATATTGGCCTGTGTCAGTGAATGTGCTTGTCTTGACCTGCAAGGGGCGCGTAGAAGTAAATTAATATCAACACAGCGGAAGATTGGTATTTTATTCCTTTGCATAATCACGATTTCGAGTTTTACTTTCGCGAAATTGAAGTCAGTTTGTTTGGATTCGAGATTCATATGAACTTTTTCCGCCAAACTTGGCATTCATCACATTCTTAAGCTAGCCGTGGGTAACATAAATAAATTAATTGTCATATTAATTTTTTTGCCAGTGCCGTAGAGGTTCAGTTTTATTTTATGCAGGTGAGGTCTTTGACCCGTGTAAATATAACTAAACCGGTTACATTGTTGAAGCCTCGACGAGGTTAGAGAAGTTGGAGCAGGATCATCCATTTAATAACATTAAAATATGAAGCTTGGATATAAATCATATACAGGGTGTCCATTATCTATGGAATACAGTATATATCTCAAATATATAAATATAACAAAATTTTTCTATATGAAAATTGTTTAACACTTTATTGCATTTTTATTTCAGGAAACAAATGAGTAACGAAAAACAGTTCAATTTGTTTAAACTGTCGTGCACTTTTTCATTAGGCTCATTTGATAGGGATTTTTTTCTCTCTTTTCGATTATGTAACATGTTAGTACCTAATCCTAGAAAATTTGTCAAAAAAACATATTGTAATCACATCAATAACATTAATCTAGATATCCTACATCACAATAAAATAAATGAATAGGTACGTTTGTTACCATTTTATTGCTAATTTCTTTTTGTCCTCAAGGTTTAATAAGAAACGTACACGTGCATTTGTTTTATTTTTATGTAGGATATCTGGATTGATGTTATTGATTTTTTTTTTTGAAAAATTTTCTTGCACTAACATATTATATCATCGAAAAGAGAAAAAAATCAAATGAGCCATTTAAACAAATCCAATTGTTTTTCGTTACTCATTTGTTTTTTGAAATAAAACAACTGTATGCTGCCTTTTTATAGGAAACAAAATATTAAACAACTTTCATATAGAGTAATTTGGTATACATTCGATATTTACCGAGATATATACTATATTCCATACATAATGAACACCCTGTATAATGCGTTTTGGTAATTACTGACATTTTTATTTATAGGTAAAAGGCTTTCAAGACACGTACATTTTTGTGCCTAGTCCTCTCATACTCCCATCCTTTACAAAACGAGGAATCGAATTTACGAAAAGGCTGAATCGGGACGAGAGAGTTGTATTGCTTTCAAATTATAAAAACTGCAACAAGAAATTTTAGGTCTTATGGTACGAAACGCAAAAACCAAAAGTTCGCCAGAAACGCGACTATGGCTTCAAAACACCCCACCGGTTTCACAAAGGACGCCCGTTTACGCTTGACAACACTTTCAACGATGAACTATGGCCCCATCAGTGGTACATGGTAAGACATTCACTTATTTGGGTGTACCATTCTCATTCAGTGCGAGTACAGCGAGATACGAGATTGTACCCCAGTTTGCCCAAGTTGGATTTGAACGTGCTTCCAGTTTACAAGGCGGGAATAACAGGAAAAGGTGTAAGAATCAGTATATTGGACGACGGAATCGAGTACACGCACGATGACATCAGTGATAACTACGTAAATGGCACACGCTTGTAGGTAAATAAGTAATTTTTCAATTACAGGATTCAGAAATAAGTTACGATTGTAATGAAGAGGATTATGACCCTCTACCACGTTATGACTCCAAAAAACGTAACAGTCATGGAACCAGGTGCGCAGGTGAAGTGGCTATGGTTGCCAATAATAACAAATGTGGAATTGGAATCGCTTTCAACGCGAAAGTTGGTGGTAAATGCTTAGGGTAATAATAAACGTAAGACTCGACTCGAGTAATTTTCAGGGGTGAAACTGTTAGATGGAGTTGTGAATGACAGAATTGAGGGCACTGCTTTGGGATTTGCGCATCATTTGGTTGATATTTATAGTGCATCTTGGGGTCCAAATGATGATGGTAAAACTGTTGATGGACCTGGCACTTTGGCACAGGAAGCCTTAAAAAGGGGGACTGACGAGGTTCTTTTTACATTTTTTGCATGTTTTATGTATGGGCGTTAACTGACTAAATGTTTAGCCACATATGATTCTAAAAAGAATCTCCTGTGTTCGCTAAACAATTTATTCGTTTTTCCCACTTACTTGGAATATCGTCGTACGTACGGAGGACCTTAAAAGTGCCCAATAACGTTTGCATAATTAAAGCAGACTATGTATTACCTGCATTTGACAGTATTTATTGATTTCAGGATATAATTCAGGTAACGTATCGATTTTGATTTTGATGGGCAATGGGTATATTTAACATTCACGCTTTATTTGAGCACATCGTTCACAATTTTTTTTAGACAAAGCAAAAAAGGTAAGTCTAGCTAGGTTACCCACTAAAACTAAACTAAAAATGGTGCTTGCGCTTGAGAGTTCTACCCTGGTGACCAGGTCAGCATGGAACTTCTCCTTATCCTCAACCATGCTGTCAACGATATTGCCTGTCTCTAGGTGCGTGCCTAATTTTACCCCGACGCGTTGCCTCACGTTTCACCATTTGTCATCTTAAAGGGCGACATGTACCGGGTGCTCCCTTTCGCCAAAGTCCTCGAAGTTGTCGTTGGTCCAGTTTAAAGAATATCCCTTTCTCAATGTGCCCCATGAGAGATTGCGTCAGGTGATAATTCACTTCTCCATAATCCAAGTATTAAACACTTGCCTTGGTTCCACTATTCCGACCTGGGTCAAACTATCACTTGGACCGGTGGTACCCTCTATCCCCAGGACCTCCATTACATCGTCGAGCTGCGCTGTGCTATGTGGGCTAGAAAGAATGTGGTGTAAGCAACGTCATGCAGACATTATTTTGATTTAAGCACCAAAAAACATTCAGGGAGATTATTTACGAAATAGTTCGTTTCATTTGAATTTCTATTTCAGTGTTGTTTTTTTCCTTTTAGAAATTTTGTAAAGGCCTAACTGTTTCAATTTGATTGCCTTTGTAATTTATTTATTTTATTTAGGTAAAGTGATAGAAGTAAGACTACACATCTGGTTACGATCAGGAGTTTTTTATATCAAAAATTGATAACCGCATCTGTTTTGGTACTAATCACGAAGAATTGCTTGTTTCGTATTGGAGAAGTATGGACGTTTAGCGCGTTCCGTTGTTGAAATTTTTTTAATTTATTGGTAGAAGTGGTGTTTCCTTAAATACTGGAGACAGCGAGTAAACGGGGCTGCAACGGTGTCTGATTACGGAAAAAGTTTTATCGAGTTGAAAAAGCAGTCCAAACAGCATCTAATTCTGTGTTAAAGTGCAGTGCAGTTAAGTGCGCCTAGTATCGCAAATCTTGTACGACCACATTATTTGATTATTTAATAAAATCTGTAAGTAATGTTAATTTTTTTATTTTATTTGTCGACCGCCTGCGTGCGGGGTGATATGTTCAAACAGACTTTAATTTGAAGTTTTCATTTTGGTCTATTGTGTTTCGGAATAAATTTTAGTCAATCACTCAATCAACTAATGAATAAGTATTTAATTACAAAGTTAAAAATTTTTAAAGATCAAACATTCATAACAAATAATAAATTTCTTCCATGGGGATCGCAGTTGGAAGCGTCCCCATTACACTTGCCGCATTGCCACGTTGTATAGCAATACTGATTTTTTGTCTTAAATAACTAGTATCTCGAGGTTCTCCAGTAATACTGGCAATACGTTTTCCTAAACACTCCACAAAATTACGAGCCTCTCTGCACCAAGGTCCCAAAGTCTCTACTGCGAAAGGTCTAAAAATATGGTTCTGTTCTATAATTGAACAATATTTCCTTATTTTTATACCTGCCGCAGATTCAGCTACTGCACCACTCGTTTTACTTGATAAATTAACATGGGATGGTGCTAGAGTGTCAGTGCATGTGGCATCCCAAACTAGCATTTGTCCTTTGGTCCAAGGCACAAGGGTCATTCCATCAACTAATTGTGTGTCTATTCGAATCCATTGTGCCACCCATATAAAGTTTTCATGTCAGATTTTATTCGTGCCAATATTTACTTTAGTTGTGTAATTTTGCAATTTTCGTAAGTTGATCGAGGCCACCGAGTCTCTCAAATTGGGAAATTATAAGTAAATAATAAGATCTTTCTTTTAGTAGATGCCTTGGTGCGATGGATTGCAGGTAGGCTCGTAGTTGTTTTAGCTCATGTTTCCTAGAACGACCTCGTTTTAGTGACTGTTATCGCGCCCTCTTTGCGCAACAGATGTATCGCATTCTTGGTTCGCAGTCTCCTCGGTCCACCAGTCTCCATGGTGTTTTTGTAAAACATGTGCTTTCAAGAGTCCTCTCGTCTCTCCGTTTCTCGTCTCCGGCCGGCGGACAGCACTCGGTTTAATGGTCGAACCTTCTCGCGTTTCACCCCCTAACGTTTAAAGTGCCTCGCGGCTTCACTATGTGCCGGTGCCCTCTTTAGGTAAAATTATTTTGTTAGGGTTCCGGTATCGGTTCCGGTTCTGTGGCTTCAGTAATTTTCGGTTCCTGTTCCACTCCTTTTTTCGGTTTTGAAGGGTTCCAACCAGGGGCGGACTGGGTACCTACGGGCCAAGTGGAATTGCATAGGTTACGGGCCATTTATTCGTGTAATGAAGATGGCGGGGAAAGGAGGGGTGCATCTCTGCGGTGCACCACAAAAACATTTTTTGCTTCATTTTAAAGTATTCTTTTCTCGAAAATCAATTAGAATATGGTTTTTTTTAATTGCAGCTGATAATTAAAAGTAACAAAATATATATAATCCAAACGAGGCGCGTCGCCTATAATTGTGTTTCAGCACTTTCAAAGTATGACAAACAATGATAAATTCATCAACCCCAATGAGAGAAACATGTTAATAATTTATTAATAGTGCAAGAAACTAAATACAGCACATACTTATAAATTTCCAACGGGCCAATATGACCTACAGGTCAGGTGGCAAACGCCACCCGCCCCTCCCGGGCCAGTCCGCCACTGGTTCCAACATAAATAAGTAAAATTATTAAAAAATATAAATTATTATTAATTATAGAAAATAAATAATACACAAAATTAATGTATGTACGTTATTCTTTTGCATAAACATATTTATTAGGTTTAATTGAAACGTATTTTAGCTTACGCGTTCGTTTCACCTCTGTCAACTGCCGCTATTTTTCTACTTTCCTTTTCTTCAGCAGTAGTTTTAACTATTGCTTTCCTCATACACTCTTCAACCCTCTTACTGTTTTTGATTTATTTTCGGTCACTCTAAAATATTTTATATTTGTTTAGGATTTGTTAGGATTGATTAGGATTAAGGTTAAGTTGATAGAAATTAGTCGGCAGCTCTGAATAAAAATGAAAATTTGGATTTATTGAAATGCTGAATTAAACTCTATGACACAAAAATCTGATTGTTATCCGGCCCAAATTCAATAGGTTGGTTAATAAGACATCTTTATATATGCAATTTTTCTGCAAGTGTGTTTGTGATTGAACTCCTCTTAAACGGCCGGGCGGATTTCAACCAGAGACATGCATGTCTCTGATTTCAACGAAAAATTTGTTGTGTCTCTAGTCTAGTGTTTGAGTTCACAGCTTCTTCTGGTTAACGTGTACATGGTCGTTTTAATTTCGTGTTCATTTTCTAGGGTCGTGGGGGCAAAGGTTGCGTATACGTGTGGGCATCGGGTAACGGGGGTGACAGAGGCGACAATTGCAACTGCGACGGTTACTTAGCAAGCCCTTACACCATAACCATAGGAAGCGCATCACAAAGAGGAGAATTTCCATGGTATGGAGAACCGTGTGCGTCGATACTCGCTGTGACTTACTCCTCAGGAGCGTACAAAGACCAAATGATTGTAAGTAATGTGTCAGTATGCCTAACGACTGAATGTTATTTTAGGCAACGACTGATTTATACAATCAGTGCACCATCAAGCATACTGGCACATCGGCTTCCGCGCCATTGGCAGCCGGTATTATAGCTTTAGCGCTGGAAGCTAAGTGAGATCAATACGAGACCAATTTCATTCTTTTATGCTGATTTTGTAGCCCAAGCTTAAGTTGGAGGGATGTACAACATTTAATTGTTTGGAGTTCGGAGGTATCACCAGTTGCGGATAATCCAGGTTGGCAAAAAAATGCCGCGGGCTTGTGGTTTAATACTCGTTTCGGTTATGGTCTTATGAATGCATTTGGGCTGGTGAATCTAGCCACGAATTGGACGACGGTTTCACCTAAAGCAGTTCTCATCGTTCCATCAGCGACGTAAGTCCAGTTCACTGTCCTAAAAAAATTCACTGGAAGTTTAAGGAAGAACTTTAAAATTGGATACGGTAACACAGTAGAGGTTCAACTAATCTCGAAGGCGCAAAGAGTCGTTGCTTCTTTGGAGCACGTTGAAGTTGTAGCGCATGTTACTTACCCAAAGCGGGGCGCTTTGGAAATGTTTCTGACGTCACCGGCCGGTACACGTGTGCAAATTTTAAACGCAAGAGAATACGATACATCATCCAAAGGATTTCAAAATTGGACATTTATGTCAGTTGCAACTTGGGGCGAGCGGCCTGATGGCCCATGGACGGTTACTGTGCAAGACCAGGTTTGCCTTATTACTAAAAAAGGCGGACAATCAATAATTCAAGTGGGCTTTTAGGTGGGACCTACAACTAACGAGGGATTTGTGGAAAGTATAACGCTTAAATTACATGGCACTCCTGAGATACCTGTTCATATGCAGAATGGTGAGAGGATATACGATCATAACTACAATCGATTGCGAAAATCCTTTGAAAACTTGTTAAACAAAGAAGATGAAAGAAATGGCAATACATTGAGTTTGATTTAAATACCTATACGGATACTTTATTACTGTGTGTAACTAGTTAATTAAATAAACATACCATGAGAGAGCTTAATTTTTCTCATCAGTCATCATACTCTGACTTTGGTTGGCGTTTGAAGAAAACATCTCGGCTTTAGGCACGTAGCAGTTAAAAAAACCGCGTCCAAAAAGTTACGTTTCAAAAATTCCACCTTTGCACGCCCTTAATCAATAAGTAATAATAACAATAAATTGTCTTTTATTGAACAGTGTATAGAACATAATACAAAACAAAACATAATGTTGCCACCATCCAATGGGACGCCGCCGTTCAAAGGGGGTACGTTACCCCACATCTGCTCTTCCACTTAACCCCTTCAAATTCAGTTGTTAACTCTGATACCATGTGCTATTTAACAACTAAGAAAATAGTATTTCGTTTGTTGCATTTTTTGTATTCTGCGAACATCCAGACTATCAAGGTAAGGATCATAGACCACATCGCAAAAGTTAAATTGTGATTTGTGGTAGGTACCCAATACAAGCGATTCACATAAGGAGTAGGTAATAACTGTCCATTGTAAGATTAGCCAAAACTCCGCGACTAATATCACTATCAGTCACGTTTGTGGTCCGAACACCCAAATGATGATTTTAAGGATGTTTTTTTGTGATAAGTACGGGCCAAGAACCAATTAAAAAAAACTATAGACAGAATTTTTGTCGCTTTGGATTCTATACGTTCGTGTTTTCCCGAGAAATTTTGGTGTAGTCGATTTTTGGTAAAAAAGGAAGGTTGTTCACTGCCTTTTTTTGAGGGGTGAAAAAAAATTGTCCCGGGAAAAAATGTTTCTTGTAGAATGTAGCCTGTAGAATCCATAATTTCAAACAGTTCCAAGATTGGGCTACTGGATCAAAAGTTACAGCCCTTTGAATTTTCTTTCGAAATTGGTTTCTAGTCTATAACTTTTGATTGAGAAGTCTGATCGAAAAAGTACGAAATGGGTTTGGATTCTACGCACCAAAATTAATAAGAAAAAGTGTTTTTCCGAGAAATTTTGGTGCAGTCGATTTTTGGTAAAAAAGGAAGGTTATACACTGCCTTTTTTTGAGCCCCGAAAAAAAAATTGTCTCAGATCGATCCGGAAAAAAAATTTTCTAATAGAATGTGGCCTGTAGAATCCATAATTTCAAACAGTTCCAAGATTGGGCTACTAGTTCAAAAGTTACAGCCCTTTGAATTTTCTTTCGAAATTGGTTTCAAGTCTATAACTTTTGATTGAGAAGTCTGATCGAAAAAGTACGAATTGTTTTGGATTCTACGCACCAAAATTAATAAGAAAAAGTGTTTTCCCGAGAAATGTTGGTGTAGTCGATTTTTGGTAAAAAAGGAAGGTTATTATGCCTTTTTTTGAGGGGTGAAAAAAAAATTGTCTCAGATCGACCCGGGAAAAAATTTTTCTTGTAGAATGTAGCCTGTAGAATCCATAATTTCAAACAGTTCCAAGATTGGGCTACTGGATCAAAAGTTACAGCCCTTTGAATTTTCTTTCGAAATTGGTTTCTAGTCTATAACTTTTGATTGAGAAGTCTAATCTAAAAGTACGAATTGTTTTGGTTTCTACGCACCAAAATTAATAAGAACAAGTGTTTTCCCGAGAAATTTTGGTGTGGTCGATTTTTGGTAAAAAAGGAAGGTTATACACTGCCTTTTTTTGAGGGGTGAAAAAAAATTGTCTCAGATCGACCCGGAACAAAATTTTCTTATAGAATGTGGCCTGTAGAATCGATAATTTCAAACAGTCCCAAGGTTGGACGTCTATAACTTTTGATTGAGAAGTATAATCGAAAAAGTACGAATTGTTTTGGATTCTACGCACCAAAATTAATAAGAAAAAGTGTTTTCCCGAGAAATTTTGCTGTAGTCGATTTTTGGTAAAAAAAAGAAGGTTATACACTGCCTTTTTTTGAGGCACGAAGAAAAAATTGTCTCAGATCGACCCGGAAAAAAATTTTTTTATAGAATGTGTGGCCTGTAGAATCCATAATTTCAAACAGTTCCAAGATTGGGCTACTAGTTCAAAAGTTACAGCCCTTTGAATTTTCTTTCGAATTTGGTTTCTAGTCTATAACTTTTGATTGAGAAGTCTGAACGAAAAAGTACGAATTGTTTTGGATTCTACGCACCAAAATTAATAAGAAAAAGTGTTTTCCCGAGAAATTTTGGTGTAGTCGATTTTTGGTAAAAAAGGAAGGTTGTACACTGCCTTTTTTGAGGCCCGAAAAAAAAATTGTCTCAGAACGACCCGGAAAAAAATGTTCTTATAGAATGTGGCCTGTAGAATCCATAATTTCAAAACAGTTCCAAGATTGGGCTACTAGTTCAAAAGTTACAGCCCTTTGAATTTTCTTTCGAAATTGGTTTCTAGTCCATAACTTTTTGATTGAGAAGTCTGATCGAAAAAGTACGAATTGTTTTGGATTCTACGCACCAAAATTAATAAGAAAAAGTGTTTTCCCGAGAAATTTTGGTGTAGTCCATTTTTGGTAAAAAAGGAAGGTTGTACACTGCCTTTTTTTGAAGGGTGAAAAAAAATTTGTCTCAGATCGACCCGGAAAAAAATTTTTCTTGTAGAATGTGGCCTGTAGAATCCATAATTTGAAACAGTTCCAAGATTGGGCTACTGGATCAAAAGTTACAGCCCTTTGAATTTTCTTTCGAAATTGGTTTCTAGTCTATAACCTTTGATTGAGAAGTCTAATCGAAAAAGTACGAATTGTTTTGGATTCTACGCACCAAAATTAATAAGAAAAAGTGTTTTCCCGAGAAATTTTGGTGCAGTCGATTTTTGGTAAAAAAGGAAGGTTATACACTGCCTTTTTTTGAGCCCCGAAAAAAAAATTGTCTCAGATCGACCCGGAAAAAAATTTTTCTTATAGAATGTGGCCTGTAGAATCCATAATTTCAAACAGTTCCAAGATTGGGCTACTAGTTCAAAAGTTACAGCCCTTTGAATTTTCTTTCGAAATTGGTTTCTAGTCTATAACTTTTGATTGAGAAGTCTGATCGAAAAAGTACGAATTGTTTTGGATTCTACGCACCAAAATTAATAAGAAAAAGTGTTTTCCCGAGAAATTTTGGTGTAGTCGATTTTTGGTAAAAAAGGAAGGTTATACACTGCCTTTTTTTGAGGCCCGAAAAAAAAATTGGCTCAGATCGACCCGGGAAAAAAATTTTCTTATAGAATGTGGCCTGTAGAATCCATAATTTCAAACAGTTCCAAGATTGGGCTACTAGTTCAAAAGTTACAGCCCTTTGAATTTTCTTGCGAAATTGGTTTCTAGTCTATAACTTTTGATTGAGAAGTCTAATCGAAAAAGTACGAATTGTTTTGGATTCTACGCACCAAAATTAATAAGAAAAAGTGTTTTCCCGAGAAATGTTGGTGTAGTCGATTTTTGGTAAAAAAGGAAGGTTATTATGCCTTTTTTTGAGGGGGGAAAAAAAAATTGTCTCAGATCGACCCGGGAAAAAATTTTTCTTGTAGAATGTGGCCTGTAGAATCCATAATTTGAAACAGTTCCAAGATTGGGCTACTGGATCAAAAGTTACAGCCCTTTGAATTTTCTTTCGAAATTGGTTTCTAGTCTATAACTTTTGATTGAGAAGTCTGATCGAAAAAGTGCGAATTGTTTTGGATTCTACGCACCAAA